TGAGGTGGTAGCACAGGACAGTTTAATGACAGCAGTGAGACCTGCTCTTCAGCATGTGGTCAAGGTAAGGTATTAATTCTTTAAGTGGTTTTAGGGACGACTGGGTAAAAACCAAACAAATAATTTGAGTTTATCTTGTAGCCTAGGTTTGAAATGACCAATCAGCACATAATTCACATCCTGTAATTCACATAACGGTTATTGAACCCCTGTTATGTGTAGAGCCCAGAAATGAATGCCCAGCATGGCAGAAAGGATAGGGTAGGCCCCCAAAGCAGTGATCTGTTTAATCTCAAAGTGTAGAATCTAGAGGGTGTGGGAGTGACGGGAATGCAAATATAAGACACAATACCTGTGAAATGGAGTGAATTTCATTTATTAATATCTACTTTGCTTTAGGTTCTTGCAGAATCAAATCCTGCCCACTATGGCTTCGTTTGGAGGTGGTTTGATGAAATCTTTACGCTGCTGGATCTTCTGCTTCAGCAGCATTATCTGTCTAAAACCAGTGCCTCATTTTCCGAAAACTTTTACGGCTTAAAGCGGATTGTAACGGGGGACACACACAAGCTTCAGAGACTGGCCAGTGCTGGTCTCCCAAAGAAGCAGCTTTGGAAGTCAATTATGTTCCTGGTGCTACTTCCCTATCTGAAGGTGAAGCTGGAGAAGCTGGTTTCTAGCCTTAGAGAAGAGGATGAATATTCTATCCATCCCCCTTCTTCCCGCTGGAAACAATTCTGCCGAGCCTTCCTGGCAGCCTACCCGTTTGTTAACATGGCCTGGGAAGGCTGGTTTCTTGTACAACAGCTTCGATACATCCTAGGAAAAGCTCAGCATCACTCACCACTGCTTAGTCTGGCTGGAGTTCGGCTAGGCCGACTTACAGTTCAGGATATCCAAGCTCTGGAGCACAAAGCAGCTGAAGCCAGCATGATGCAGCAACCAGCCAGGAGGTAAGGCCTTAACATTACCCCACATCTTTGATTAACAGATTCTAAAATCTTACTTTAATTTTATGAAATCACCTCCTTCATAAAATCATAGAAAAATTCTGTTTTCATAAATCAAGGATTGCCATCCTGGTAAGCAACCTCATCATAACACTTGCTATAGCCAGGCCCTGAGCTATGTGTTGGTTTCATATACATTATCCCAATCCCCACCGCAACCCATTCATTAGCCCAGTTTAATGGCGGAGTAAACTAAGCCCTAGCAGCTGAGTCCCTTGTCAAGGCCACACAGCTAGAAGGTGGCAGAGCTGAGATTCAAGGCAGATCAACACAATTCTCACCTGCTCTTAACCACGATGCTATACTGCTTCTAGTTAGTGTCCATGCTCTCCTACAAGTCTGTGTGTATATATATATATATATATATATTCCTCAATGCTGCTAAGTTATTTTTTTAAAGTGAGTTGTTTCTTTTTTCGGATATACTATCTTCCATGCATACACAGAAAGGTCTATATAATCAATGTCTCACTCATTTCTTCTCCACACACACAACCCTACTCTTTAAAAACAAAAGCTTTGCCGAAACCGGTTTGGCTCAGTGGTAGAGCGTCGGTCTTCGGACTGAAAGGTCCCAGGTTCGATTCCAGTCAAGGGCATGTACCTTGGTTGCAGGCACATCCCCGGTGGGGGGTGTGCAAGAGGCAGCTGGTCGATGTTTCTCTCTCATCAACATTTCTAGCTCTCTCTCTCCCTCCCTCTCTGTAAAAAATCAATAAAAAAAGTAAAAGCTTTGCTCTATGCTCCTAAAATACTGTAAGTCAGAAAGGGAATCACTTAGAGTACAGCCTTAAGCAGACAATACCAGTCTGGCAACTGTTCCTTCCCCAAACTGAATTGGCGATTCTGATGAAAAGGGTGAGAAATACATTTATATTAGTCGCTCTGCAATTGTACCTAAACCAAGTTTCTCCTTTTGCCTTTTTGTTATCTTTTCTAACAGTATTAGTGAGAAGATCAAGTCAACTCTGAAAAAAGCTGTGGGGGGTGTTGCCTTATCCCTCTCTACCGGCCTGTCTGTGGGTGTCTTCTTCCTGCAATTCCTTGAGTGGTGGTACTCATCTGAAAATCAAGAAACCATCAAATCACTGACTGCCCTGCCTACCCCACCACCGCCTATACACCTAGACTACAATTCCGATTCTCCCCTGCTACCCAAAGTGAAGACTGTGTGCCCACTGTGTCGTAAAACCCGGGTGAATGATACTGTTCTTGCCACCTCTGGCTACGTGTTTTGCTATCGCTGTGTGTTTAGTTACGTGAGGACTCACCAGGCTTGTCCCATCACAGGTTATCCAACGGAAGTGCAACACCTAATTAAACTCTACTCCCCTGACAACTGAAGGGGATTAGCATCTTAACTTGCAGCAAAATTATTGCCCAAAAGGCCACAGGGCTGGTTTTCAGAATGGTACACAGCCTTATTTTGTACTTCTTAGCCTCAATTCATAATTATGTGAATTAAAAAAAAATTATATGGATTTCTTTAAAAGGCTATACCCATGGATTTTTGACCTTCTAACCTGCTCTCTAGGCCCCAACTTAACATTAACCAAGCTGATTAGAGTAACAGAATTGAGGTTAGTATAGATGTGGATAAGAGAGTAATCAGGACAGTTTTTTCTTAAAGAACAAAGAAGTATAGAAGCTCTCAGGAAAAACCCATGTTAGACCTCATAAAGTGGGTGGTGAAGGGGAAGCAGACCTTTTATTTAGAAAAGTCTTCATCTGCCTCTGAGGAAGAGGTTTTATTAGTGTGCAGTGTGAAAAGTGGGCTTACTCTTTTGAAAAATAGCTCCTTCTATGTACTGTGACTCATTTGTTATGTAATATCTGCTGTAATTTATCAACTTTTAAAGATTTCTTTATGAGTCTTTCTTGGGAAACTGGTTAAAGAAAAATTAAGGTCAAGTGTATATATAGATTTTGGTGAGAAAGCAAAGCTAATAAGCAATGAAGAGATGAAGTAAGCCTAGATGGTGTGACTCAGTGGTTGAGCATCAACACATCCACCAAGAGGTCACCAGTTCAATTCCCAGTCAGGGTACATGCCTGGGTTGTAGGCTCAATCCCCAGTGAGGGGCATGCAGCAGGCAGCCAGTCTCTTATCGATATTTCTATCTCTCCGTCTACCTTCCTCTCTAAAATCAATAAATATTTTTAAAAGATGAAGTAAAATACTCATCTATGTGTAAAGAAAGGCTCTTTTAATAAGCTCTTTCTCCTTGCTATTAAGAGTTTGCTAAACTGGCATGAATTATTCTGGCTATTACTAAAGTTTCTATGAAACACTTAATTACATTTCAAGAATAAATGTTTTTGGCAAAGAACTGTTCCATGTTGTCATGATTGTATAGAAACTGAAAGATTACTTGAGGTGTTTAAATTTTTCATTCAGACAGCCTTTGACTTTTTGGGGTATTTTTGTATTAACGTGTTTTTGTGTTTTTTTTGCTAATCCAATAATTGGGGAGGAAATCCTTCACTCCAACAGCAAAAATTCAGCATTCAGCTTTGTTCGAAATATCTTGTATTAGAAAGACTACAAAAACAGTTAAGTTGCCTATATAGAAAAAATCATGCCTGGATTGGCAAACTGACAGGAAAATATGGGTTAAAAAATCCTCATGACTAGATGAGGAAGGATGAAAGTAATTTGTGGTGCCTCTGCTGAGATAGGTGTTTTCCAATATTTAACTCATTTTGGCAATTCTCTAATGGCACCACGGTGATAAAACTAAAATCTGAAATGGAACATCCTATTGATTTTAAAATATTAACACTTTTACCAGGTGTACCAGTTAATAATGTGGATTTTTTCAATAGATGGAATTACACATATGTTGATACATATGTAATTTGATATGTATGCTATTTTGTTGTATTGACAACAAGCTTCTAAATTTTATATGTCAAATTTTCTGAAGATGTTAACATTATAGATATTTTTACGCTTAAAAATGTCGAATTTTGTGCCAAAAAAAGGAGCATGTACAAAAAGTTTTAATTAATTACTTTATTTTGAATAAAAGTGCTGCTAAATACTTTGGCAATCTTATGGTGATCATGCTCCATCTCAAGATCCTTGTGAATACTGGTTCAAATGCTTTAAAAGTGATGATTTCTATGTGAAAGACAAAGAACATCCAGGTCAGTTTGAACCATGCTTTGATCATAAAACAACCAGAATGGGCCAGAAGACACAGCAAAGTAATTTTGTTTTACGATAACACACCATCACACACTTCAAAACCAGTTAAAGGCACGTTAAAAGATCTTGTCTGGGAAGTACTAACCGCCCGCCGTATTTACCAGACCATGCTCCTTCAGATTACCATTCGTTCCAATCAATGGCACAGGCACTTTCTAAGCAGAATTTCAATATGCACCAATAAGTGGAAAATTGGGTCTCTCCAGTATATCAACAAGTAGACTGTCAAATTATAGCGGGGAGGGGAGGAAGATCTGGGGGAGATAATAGATCAACCGAAGGACTTTTATACATGCATATAAGTACAACCAATGGACACAAAACTCTGGGGAGGGAGGGGATGTGTGGAAGGGAGGGAGGGGGGCAAAAAAAAAAGAAAGAAAAAAAGAAAATTGGGTCTCTCAATGGTTTGCCTCAAAACAAGAAAAGTTCTATTGAAATGGTATCCACAAATTACCTGAAAGTAGCTAGCCATGGACATTACATTGAATAAAGCACTTTTAATGTTTCTCTTGAAATTAATGTGTTTTCTTTTATTACAAAATCTGCATTATTAACCAGTACACCTGGTATGTATCACTAGAGGCCTGATGCATAAAATTCGTGCAAGGGGCTCAGCCCTCAGAGCTGAGGTGGCTGCCTAGGTCCTCGCAGCCCCAGCCAAAGCAGTCTGGAAGGACGTCTGGTCTAATTAGCATATTACGCTTTTATTATTACAGATAATAAAAATATATGGGATAGTTGCAAGAATTCTTATTAAACAGCAAGGTTTTACCAAAGCAAATATAAACATTTTTAATATAATAAGTCAATAAGAGGACTAAACCAGATTCAGGATTGAAATAACGTAGTACTCCATGAAGGTATCAAAGCCAGGTTTTTCGCCTCAACCTAAAAAGGAAAACAAGAAAGTATCAGTAAAATTGAAACAAATACCGAAGAAACACTCATATACCTAATAAAACCAGTATCCAAATAGGCTAAAACATACCAATGTGGGAAAACCATAAGCAGACTCAGCTCAGAGAGAAGATTAAGTGATCATACCCTGGTCAGAGCCAACATGAAGCAATGGCAATACCAGGTCAGACTATACTTCACTCATCATCGCATCATTGCAATTCACCTCCTTGTATTACCTTAGAGTATTTTCACTTGCTGTTTTCACTTCTAAAAAAACTTAGGTTTACCCATGAAAAAAAGGAAAAGCTTCTTTTTAGATAAATTTAAATTGCAACCATGGGCTTCCAATAAATATTTTACCTTTTACTATGCTTTAGTTTAAGTAACTCTACAAAAATGCAAGTTTTGTTTGGGGGAGCTTTCTTATTTTTGAAATACAGATAAGTGGGTAAGCATTTACAGTTTAAAAAAGAAAACATTTTATTTTATTGAACCCAAACACAATGCAAGATAAAATTTCAGATGCCTGCGAAGGGATTTAGAGACAAGTTCTTGAGCAAAAGCTTTAGAAAAGATTTTATACTAAATTCTATTACAAAGTCAACTCCAGTTCATTTATTATATATTTTGATTCACAATCATGCTGCACATACAGATAAGCAAAAGCTTTAGAAAAGATTTTATACTAAATTCTATTACAAAGTCAACTCCAGTTCATATATTATATGTTTTGATTCACAATCATGCTGCACATACAGATAAAAACTAGTCACACATTCGTTATACCAGAATCTCCTATCTAAAGAGTCCAAGACGCAGAGAGGCTGTGATTTGCCTAAGGTCCAGAGCAAATTAACATCAGCTGGGAAGACAACTGAAGTCTGATTACCAGATTTGTATTTTTCCACTATCAGCAAATATAGGGTTTAATTTCATTTTCCTCCAGGGCATGAGCAAGATGAAGGAAACAAGGCAAAGCCTGGATAATTCACGACCTGAATAATTAATTTCTGAATGAAAAAACTGATTGCATTTCATTTATTCTAAATGGCACCTGGTAAGATACCATCATTGACGTGGTAAAATACTAGGATCACATGTCACCCTTCCCAGCCTTTCAGCATGGTATTGACTGTACCTAATAATTGTGGAGACACCACATGCTTCAGCCATCCATAAGCATCAATAGGTCGATTTTCCATAAAAGTGACAATGGGTCTGTTTGCCATTTAGCAACCAAACTCCATAAAGAGAGGGAGACCAAGAAAGTGTCTATTTTACAGGGGTTATGCTTGAGCCTTTAGCTCATCATCCTCTGAGTCTACACAAATATATTTTCCTAATTTTCTTCCTTAGTTCACTGCGCCATCTGGAATGCTTCCCCACCCTTTTCAATCTGGAGAGCGCCTGATTAGTTTTAAAACCTTACTCACATGTCACCTTCTCTCTCCGTTCAGTGGTCCCTAACTCCTCAGTCATCCCCTCCTCTGAGTCCCACAGCACTTTCCCCCACAACACGCATCAAATGCCATTTATTCACGACCCCCTCTGCCCCCATCACAGAGTTCCTCAAGAGCTAGGACTGTGTCTTACTGGCTTTTGCATCCATTACACTCAGATGGTGCACAGGAGGAGGCTCAATAAATGAGCGTTTAACTCACGCTCCTCCCTACTAAATTCTAACCTCCTGGATTATAAAGGCATCAGCACCATTGACAAAGCCGACTTACCTCCGTTTCACGTAGGTAAGGACCACGTCTCAAGCATCTCCAAACCCTCCGCTTCCCCCCCACTCGCCCTCCCCGCGGCTTCTACCTCATGGCGTCCTGCCCAGGACAACCAATGCTTACACACAGGGGACCGTCAAACATAAATAATATGGTCCAAACCTCACCAACTTCAAGAAAGACAGAAAAGCCGTCCTTGCGGGGAAACACGAGTAAGGCGGGAGCCAGGGCTCACACCAAAGACCCAGGCAGGAGTCCTAAGCCCTATTTGGAAAATCCTAAAACTAAAACTCCTACGCCCTACACTTCAGGAGGCCTGCCCAGCCGGCGAAAGCTCACGGAGCCGACAGCTGGCCTTCCCGCCCGCCCTCTCAGACCACAGCTCCCCTCTCCCCACCCGCCTCCGCCTCCAGGCCCCGCCGGCATCCCACCACCCAGGCGGCCTTGGCCAGACAGACAACCAATCCCGCGGCGGCCAGCGGGTCACGTGCAAGGATCAGCCAATAGGAGGGCGAAGCGGACGTCAGGGGTGGGGCGAGCCGGCGGGCGGAACCTCCTTTTCCGTCACTTGGTTTCCAGGCGGACTCCGTACAGCGAGACTCAGAGCCCTCGGGCCTCCGAACGCCTGTTGTTATCCCGGTGCCTTGTTTCACACCTGGGAAAGGGCTTCGGAGATCGTTGTGCCCTGGGTTTCCGTTTCCGGGGGGAAACGATTGACTGAGTGATCCAACGTTGTGTATTGCGTGAGGGCCAGGGGTTGGGGTGGACTGTCTTAGATGAATGTGTCCTCCTCTGTCCGGAGGGAACTTACTGGCTCGTCGGGCTCTTGGATGTTTCCTAAGCAAACAAGAGGTGCTGCCAGAAAAGTGCAGCAAATATCAAAGAAGTGTGAAGGAGAGCGGGAAAGGCTTTCCGGAAGAGATGGCACTAGATTTGGGTCTTGAAAGATTTTTTTTTTTGGGGGGGGGGAGCGGTTGAGAATTAGGAGATTCTGGGAGAAGGGATAATTACCGAATTAAATGAGAAAGCATGGGGGGAGCTGACCAAATTTAAAGCTGAGACGTGTAGTGTTTCTCAAAAATTGGTCAGTTAGCAACACCAGGAGGAAACAATATAAATGTCCTCCATCAAAAACATATCACACGTGCCGAAACCGGTTTGGCTCAGTGGATAGAGCATTGGCCTGCAGACTGAAAGGTCCTGGGTTCGATCCCAGTCAAGGGCATGTACCTTGGTTGCGGGCACATCCCCAGTAGGGGGTGTGCAGGAGGCAGCTGATCGATGATTCTCTCGCATCAATGTTTCTAGCTCTCTGTCCCTCTCTTCCTCTCTGTAAAAAAATCAATAAAATATGTTTTTAAAAAAAACACATCACACGTGGGATTGCAGTGGTTCAGGTGAGAACTAGTAAGAGCCTAAATTAGGACTATGGTAGTGGAAATGGGAGGTAGCATACAATAAGCAGCATGAGGATTGTGATGAGTGTTGGACGGGGGTGGGTAGAAGGACATGAAAAAATAAAAAGGAAAAATGGAGACAAACAAGGGTCTTTTGTACCAGACCTACCAAGGAACTCCAGTGGTCATGCATATGGACTGTATTTGTAAGCATCACACTCAGTGCCAGACCTAAGATTTCAATACCCTAGATTCGTAAGTGAAAGAATGAATGAATGTTCAGAGACCCAGAGCTAGTGTGGCTTGGTGAAACTAGCATTTTTGTTCTGGGTCACTTTTCCCTAGTCTTTGAATTATCTCTGTGAATGAATTTAGGAAGGAGGTTGGTGTTTGTTGTAGTTATGGTGCCATAACTAATGCTGATAAATTTAAATTCTTAATAAATATATCTGAAATAAATTGGGACTCCAGTTCTTAGCCAATTGTGAATAGAATGGCCAGCTCATTTTCCTAAGACCTAGGAAAAAGCACTGTCCAAGCTAATAATTTCAAGTTACTTTGTAGCATGGACATTTGATGTGAGATCCTCCCTGGTGTGATAACCTCTAACTTTATAGCTAGGGGACTTGACTAGGGAACTTCGAAGAAGGAAGAGAAACTCTTTGCTCATCTTTCACATTTCCCCCTCCTTCTGGTTTGGTCCCTTACAGTGAGTGCATTGAAGAAGAATAAAGAAACTACAATCTGGCTCCTGGTTCTCCTGTCCAAATAATGTCCTTTCTGTGGACCAGGAAGGAAAGGGGGAGATACTTCGGTAGAGTTCTTATTTTGAAGACTTCAAAACTTGAAGGCAGAATCCCAAAGGTGAAAGGCAGTGGAAGGAGCAGGAACATTTGTATTAGACAAACCTGCCTTTGAACTCCATCTCTTCCACCTACTGGCCAAGTAACCTCAGTTTCTTTGTAGTGTTAAAAGCTCCCATCTTGGTCCCTTGTGCCAAAATGCACATGTCCAGTAAAGAATGTCATTTATCTTTCTAAAGGTAAAGAGAGATTGCAATGTGAGTGTGAGGCTGGGAATTAAGGTTAGTTGTAGAATTAAAAGACTGAGTTTAGAAGTGAAGTTAATGAAAATCAGTTAGAGTTGAGGCTGAGGGCAGGCTTTTAGAGTTTATGGTGCTACTATGCTAATATAGCATCCATTCTGCCTCCTATCCTGAAACTCTATTCAGCCAACATGTACAAAGAGTAATAATAATAATAATAATAATAATAAACAACCAGAAATCTATTAAGAATCTCATTTAGCCAAAACCGGTTTGGCTCAGTGGATAGAGCATGGGTCTGTGGACTGAAAGGTCCTAGGTTCGATTCCCGTCAAGGGCATGTAGCTTGGTTGGGGGCACATCCCCAGTAGGGAGTGTGCAGGAAGCAGCTGATGGATGCTTCTCATCAGTGTTTCTGACTTTCTATCCTTCTCCCTTCCTCTCTGTAAAAAATCAATAAAATATATTTTAAAAAAATAAAAATAGAGCTTTGAAATGAAATTGACCAGGATAGGAGGTGCTTGTATGATGTATGGAAATGACACGCAATCCCTTAGAGGTGAGCAGTGTAACTGGCTCTCATTTGAAAACGCCTGAATCTTCCCTTACTACCTAATTCACTCCAGAAGCCAAACTGCAGCCTTCGAATCTGCCCTGTCATAGGCTTTTCTTGAGTCCTTATCAGTCTTCCTCAGTGGGTCAATGTTATGAAGTCTGGGAGAGTCTGGCAGGGCTCCTGCTCCTCCCAGGCTGATATCAAAGAGCCACAGGACTGTGACAGAAAGCAAACATTCAGACCAAAGCCAGATGTGGAACTGAAACAACAAGAAGAGAAGCAAACGTATCAGGTAAAAAATTTTATTTTCATTTAGAAACCTCATCCATCTCATCTTAAGTGCAGTTTATGTCTGAGGGTATGAAGGGCTTAGTAAAATAATAGCTATAGGACAATGAGTGAGAAGTTTTGGGGAAATCGGAAAGGATATTCATATGGAGCTTGAATCTCAGAACGCATTGTATTTATCAGTTGTTAACAGCATTAGTAACATCAGTGAGACCCGGGTGTCATGATAGCACAGTTCTGCTAGTTCAAAAGCAAGTAGATTTGTCCTGTGAATCCAGCAGGTGGAAATTATATCGAGACAAATTACAGTTGAAAATGAGGGAACTCCTTTCTAACAGAGCTGTCAGGAAATAGAAGAGACTAATTTGATAGGTAATAAGTTACTCCTCACGGGAGGTGTTCAAGCAGTTGCTGGAAAGCAATATGTTGGGAGATAGGAATATTATACAGAGGATTTAAGAATCAGATGGATGGTTGGACCTGAAGATTATTTAAAGTCCTTTCCAACACTTCTCTGAATCTATGACATGAATAGAATGTTAATCAGAAGTTTCTCTGAAGAGCCAGGCATTTACATTTTACCTGCTCACATATGAAAAAATAAATCACCATGTTGATTCTGGCATACTTAGCAGAAACGAGAAGGCAGCCATAAGCGAACTATGGCAGAAGAGGATGTATGACCTGTTGAATGCCTGCTTTTTGTCCCCTCTTCATGGTCATAACACCCACATGGCCTCTACTTTGCAAAGATTACAGGAAGAATTTTGGTTTGGGTTAGTAAACAGCTTATTTTGCAGTTAACAAAAGCTAAGGGAGCCATGTCTGAAATATTTGCTTCAGAGCCCTGATTTCTATTTTGATGGCTATTCTCTGATCTGAGAAGCAAAAGGAGGTTGATCACAGTTTAACAACTATGTCCCAAAGGCTCATGTTTTTTCCAAGTCTTAAAGGGCAGAACTATTAGAAGGGTAGGAAGATGCCTGTATCACGCTGTTTAGGAAGAAATGCACTTTTAGAAGAATGTTTGAAAAGATAAAAAAGAGCCCAGCCTGCGTGGCTCAGTGGTTGAGCATGAGGCTATGAACCAAGAGGTCATGGTTTGATTCCCAGGCCAGGCACATGCCCAGGGTGTGGGACATGCAGGAGGCAGCCAGTCAACAATTATCTCTCTTCATTGATGTTTCCGACTCTCTTTCCCTCTCCTTTCTTCTCTGAAATCAATAAAAATATGTATTTTTTTTTTTAATGAGAAGACTTAACAACAAAGATAAAAATAATTCTGCATTTGGTATCTATTGACAGACTTTCAGGAATAGAATAAAGCTTTAAAAATATACAGAATAGCCGGGACTGGTTTGGCTCAATGGATAGAGCGTCGGCTTGGGGACTGAAGGGTCCCGGGTTCGATTCCGGTCAAGGGCATGTACCTTGGTTGCGGGCATGTCCCCAGTGGGGGGTGTGCAAGAGGCAGCTGATCAATGACTCTCTCTCATCGATGTTTCTAACTCTATCTCTCTCCCTTCCTCTCTGTATAAAATCAATTAAAAATATATTTAAAAATGTACAGAATAGCACAAAAAAATACCATGTTTTATGCTTGTTTATACAGCAAGATATCTACATCACATATATTATTAACCTATACTCCCTTAGATATCACCCCCTTTCTTTTGCTCTGAATAAGAAATAGGAGCATCTTCTGATTTCAACTTCTAAGTCTGCGAATTCTCTAATAACTTAACTTTGGTTTCAGTGCCAATCCATGCCTTTTTTTTTTTTTTAACCCAGGACTTTTATAAATATCTAGG